GTTCTTCTGTTTCTTCTGTGCCACCTCTGTACAAATATTTTTTTTATTAATACTAATTTCATGATTGGTATCTTATTCTACTTATTCTACTTCTTATTATATTGTTTTAAATAGAAATTTTAAAAAGCTTATAAACATACATTTTTGAATTTGACATAGATGAAAAAGATGCCATTACAAAGGTAAAAAGAAAATACCCCTGTAAGTCACTTTGAGTCAAATGTCACCTCATATTAGGTGTAAATAATTTTTTATTATTGATTTTTTATTATTTTAAATTAGGAGGACAAGCGCTCCTAATTACAAGAAGAAGAATAAATGCTTTTAAACTGTGTGTGTGACAGGTATGGCTGTGGAATGGGGTTTGGCTGAGGAAATATTTTCAGTCAAAATATTTTTATTTTTTTTGCTTTAACCCCTGTTTATGGCCCTATTTCAAAAATGGTCCTATATGTTCTGTCAAACACAGAATGAAACGGCACTAATGATTGGGGGTGGAGATGGGGTAGCGATTTTCTTAAGCCCGCTCCCACTGTATTTCTGACCATTACCGCCCCCGCAAACATTCTAATATTGTATATTATGTAAATGATAAGTGTAAGTGAAATGTTAAGTACTGTAAGGTCTTTCATGACACTACATATTCTGGGGTGTGAATTTGATAGGTGCTTGATAAAAAATAAATGGTGCTTTAAAAAGTCCTTGAAAGTCCTTGAATCTGGTGTTCATGAAAGAGTGGGAACCCTGCATTGTGTAGAATTGAGCTGAAATTGTGCTGTAGGCCTGGCTGATTTTCCTTTTTTAATATCCTGATTATATTTTCACCCTCAAGCCCCTTGAGAGGAAGTATGTGCGTGTGTCAGGGGAAGCCACTGTCCGTCATGTGGAGCTTTTTATCAGGAGGAAGATGGAACTGAGTCAAAACTGCAAGGTGAAATACAGATTTTCCCCCCCCTTTATCTTTAATATCACCTGCAGTGCATTTTGAATCATAAACCACACTCTGTATCAGGGTTAGGTCTTGGTCTTAAACAGCTTGTTTTCATTAAACCAGACGCATAAATCCTGCCTCAGATGGTCAGCAATGTCAGAGGTGGGAAAGAAATGTGGGGTGAGCAGAGGACCCCCCAGCTGTGTCAGTCACTCAATAATTCATACTGACAGGACGGGCAGAATGAATCAGACGCCACCCTTCACATCAGAGCAAAGATATGCCGAGTCATTTGATGCAAAATTGTTATTTTTTCACTCCTTAGTGGACTAAATTCAGCAAAATCGCTCGTCCTCTTTAGGTTTCCACAATGAGGTCATCATGTAAAAGTGTGATTAAAGAAATGATGTTATTAGGATGTTCCCTTACCCTCTCAACATTTCAGTGACTGTCACACTTCACAATCCTGCCACATTGCTGTTTAATTAGTTTCCCCTTAATCCCAATTCTGTATAAGGATTTGAGTCCTTGAAATTAACCACAGCTCAGTCGAGCATAGAAATGACTGTCTGTGGTTGTAAATAACAGAGATTATGTTTGAAAAAAAAATCTAGTGCTGTTTATATACAGTATATATATATATATATATATATTTCAGCTGTCACTTCTGCAGACTGACACGGACTTCTCCAATTTGAGAGCCATATTTTTAACTGGTAACTGGACACTGTTTATTTTACAGTGTCCTCGTTACATACTATATGTTGGATGTACTTACTATAGTAATTACAGGTAAGTATGCATAATTACAAGCATCTAACCCTAAACCAAACTCTAATCCTAATCTTATTTTCATTGTTAATTGTTCATAGTATGTATACATGTGATTTGGGGCATTTTAAAGATATATTCTGGGTTCAATTCAAGTTTAGCTCGACTGACAGCATTTGTGGCATAATGTTGATAAATAATGTTGATTTACAAATAATGTTGATTTGATTTCCACTTCTCCCTCCTGTCTTGATTACTGTGAGGCACATACAATGGAAGTGAATGAATGGTGCCAATCTGTAATGCTGACATGATATTAGTGTAAAAAATACTTATTGTATTATGTTTTATTAATGTATTTTACTGTGTAAAATTAATTTTACAATTTTGTTGCCATGAAAGCTCACTTTTAATCAGAATTAATATGCTATTATAAAATTATAAGCTTCACAATTTAGCTTTTTCGTTTGTGTAATTAACATTAATTGCAGTATTGTGATATATAGTCACATGCAAGCAGTTAGTAATGGCTGCTTGCATGTTGTGAGGCTAACAGTCATATCTGGATTACTGGCTTAAGGGTTTTTCCTGGCGTCCAGTCACTCAGTGTTGATTAGCTAAGACTGATCTGGCTCGGTGAGGAACACCTCATAGTGCCAGGGACATCTACTGGGATAGAGGTGAAAGAGGAGGCACGAGGGTTTGTGTGCCTGGCTCCAGGATAGCCCGCTGTGCCCTGCTCCACATACTAGACTCTAAAAATTGTCTAATCATTTTGGGAATACACTGAGGCTGTATTGTATATGCATATGGAGGCTTAAAGTGTATTTCCATCTGGCATTTTAGGGTCACTGTGAAAAAGCAGTCTTCTAAAAAGTTTGTACCCACTGGAATCCAACTTTTATTAGTGATGTTTGCTAATGCAAGAATCCCCATTTCTATTGCTTATATTACTTGTGATATTTTTGTTAAGGTTTTTTTTTTTCTCAGAATTCAGCTTTGGCATTGTGCTATGGTCAGGAACGATTCTTCAAAACATGCAGTGTTTTGAGGAGTGGAGTGCTATTACTTTCCTAAAGTGATCAGGCTAAAAGCATTGGTATTGATGATATGACAGATAGAAAAAGAAAAGTTACATGAACATTTACATTCTACTTCATTTGGCAGGTTGATGTTGTGTGTGGAGATCATCTTCTTGAGCAATGCCAGTCTTTGAGAGAAGTTTGTAACACCATGGGAAAAAATGCATTGCAGGTGGGTGTCTGATATAATGTACCTTTCACCTTTTTATGTTATTTTGTCTATTATATTTTTTTGCAAAAAAAATAAAACGGCTAGAGGCACAAAGAATTGCTTAAAAGGACAATTCATTCAAAAATGACAATTCTATCTTCATTAACTCACCGTCACGTAGTTCCAAACCTGTATGAGTAACACAAAAGAAGGTATTTTAAAGAATGTGGGTAACCAAACGGTTTCTGTTCCCCATTGACTTTTTTGATTTTTTTTTTACCTTACTTTGGAAGTCAGCCAGCAGCTGTTCAAAATACCTTTTTATGTTCAACAGAAGAAAAAAGCTCATGCAGGTTTGGAACTACGTACTTGAGATTGAGTAAATGACAAAAAATGGGAGAACTATCCTTTTAAGGATTGTTCAGTATAATTGAGATGTTTTTAGAGAGAATGAGCCTCATGTAAGCTGTTAATAAGTGTGAAAAACAGGCGCCTTAACACAGTTCCTGTCTCGCCCTTCACACAGCATTGCATTAGAGCCTTAGCAGCCTCAAGTGCTGCTGTCTCTTAAAAATAGCATTTTAAAGTAAAAAAGACAGACAGGTCTCTTTAAAGTCTCTTGCTTTGTTCTATGTGTTGTATGTGACCGCTATCGCTATTTTTCAAATGACATCTGTGATAATCCATTGTGGTTAATCTGACATCAAAATGTAATTTCATTGTTATTTTCAGCAGTCATTACTCCAATCTTTAATGTCACATGATCCTTCCTAATATGCTGATTTGCTGCTCAAGAAACATTTCTTATTATTATCAGTGTTGAAAACAGTTGTGCTGCTTAATGTTTTTGTGGAAACTGATACATTTTTTCAGGATTCTTATATAGTTCCAAAAAAACAACATTTATTTGAAATAGACATCATCACTGACAATGTAAAATTCTTTACTTTTACTTTTTGTCAATTTAATGAGTCCTTGCTGAATTAAAGTATTATTATTGTTTTTTATTTTATTCTTGCTGACCCAGAACTTTTAAACAGTAATGTAAATGCTGTATTTCTTAATACCCACATTTCTTATTTTCCCTTTTTAGGATGGCATGCTGGTTCTGCATTTCGGACTCGTTCTACCTGCTCAGTAAAGAGGGAAGACACAGAAAGACCAACTACTGTGAAATTTACATTGTACAGTGGTTTTATTTCAAGGGCTAAACTGAATTTGATCATATAACAGTTATCCTATGCAGTGATCCTTCGTCTTCCTGGTTGCCTTCTGCTCAAAAAGATTAAGAATATGGCAGCATTCTTTGAGCAAATGCATTAAGAAACAGAGCTAATGAGCTATTTCCAGAATATACTGCTTGTTTGTTTGTTTGTTTGTTTGTTTGGATGACTGATTTTTGGTTACAATTTCCACAGCGGTGAGGGTTCTGTGAATGCTCTTTTATACATTTGCTAATAAAAACACAGAGTAAGTAATTATTTTACACCTTATCTCTGAGAATATATTGTTTGACATATTGTTTTATTGCTTGGTTTTGTTGTGCCTCAAGTTCAGCTGACAAAAATTAAATCAGTACTTTGAAAGAAATAATTCACTTAAGTACCTGGGCAGTACCTAAATTGTTAAGTATTTAATTCTGAACAGCAATGAAGATGTTTGTTTGGTTTACTGTCTTTCTCTCCTCAACTCTTCTAGGGGTGTTTAAGTGTTTCTGGTTGTCTTTGTTCATTTTATATTGAAATCTTTATGTATTGTTTGAGTCATATTGTGTTATTACAAGGCCTTTGGGGGGAAAGATCTTTCAAATATGTTTTTTCATCTTTTGCAATATTGTAATTGAAGTCGTCTTCATTTTTAAAACAGCTTTACAACAAGATGTTAAAATGCGCATGGCCAGATACACATCATTTCATATAAATACTATGCATCCCTTTTCATTTAGTCATCTTTTTAGTTTTGGGAAATATTTTATGACACTGATTTTCTGTTTGTGTGCTGCTGATTTCAAATTGTAAATCTTATTTACACAAAAAATATTAGTTTAGCCTAAATGTTAGGAAGCATATTTCACCTCATATGTATTAGAGTCTAGTCACCTGTATGGGATTCTTTGTTAAAGCCATTATCACAAAAACTCTGGAGAGTCTGAGGCTCAGTGTAAGAGGGAGAGAGATAATTCTTACTAACCCACAGGGACTGTTGAAAATGGTTTCCAAGGGAACCGCCTTAAACCCCCTGTATGATTTCGCTTGTCTTAAGGTTCAGATATTGTTTATGAGAGTGTAGGATTGCAGGTACAAGGTTGTTCAAATCTAAGCACATCTAGTTTGAGTTGATTTGATGTTGCTTTTTAACATTCTACAAGTGGGAATATAACTAACCACTGCTGTATCTGATCTAATATATCTCTGGCTGTTTTTACCTTACTCGTGATTTTTTAAAATCGAGTTCTGTCTTGGTGATTATAAAGGGAATTTACTGACCTTTTTCGAAAAAAAGACAGTGACTCTTAAAGGGGCATCTCCCATATTTTTCAGTGATTGACAGTCTTTCGGAACAACACAAAGCAGAAGCCTTTTTCTGAGTGGAGTGGGAAGATATAATCAATCATAACTAAATTCTCCCTCTGTTTTTTGTGGAGAGAGACAGAATCCATAAGCCTTTAAATAGGAGGTCATCTTTCTGTCATTGAACAGGGTAGTTAATGCAATTTAGATGATTACATGTGCACTCATTTTTAAAAGTTTGGGGACAGTAAGATTTTTCTGAAAGAAATTTTTTTTTTTCAACAAAGATCCATTGAATTGATCAAAAGTGACATTAAAGACATTTATAATGTTACAAAATATTTCCATTTCAAATAAATGCTGTTATTTTGTTTTAATTATCAAAACCTGGAAAAATGTATTCCACAGATTCCACAAAAATGTAAGGCAGCACAACTGTTTTCAATCATAATAATGTTATTTTATCACCACAACAGATTAGAATGATTTCTGAAGGATCATGTGACACTGAAGACTGTGAACATTTTGCTTTGGCATCACCGGAATAAATTACTCTTTTAAATATATTCAGCTAGAACATAATTATTTTAAATTGTAATATTTCACAATATCTGAATTTATCAAATAAATTCAGCCTTGATGAGTATAAGAAACGTCTTTCAAAGGCATTCAAAATCTTACCAACCACAAACACGGTATTGTAGCTCTACAGAATACAAGCTCGCGCTGAGGCTCACTCTGTTTGTCTCGAGACATCAGAACAAATGAGCGTGACCGCACACATAGACTCAGAAGAAACACACTGAGGTCAAATTCAAAATGTTTATTTTATTCATAACATGATATAGTTAAATAACACCATGACAAGTGAGCTATTTACTCAATATTCTCACGACGCAAAAAAACCAAACATTCAAAACACCTACAGAGTGCACGCATTACGTGAAGTCTAGTACGCGTGCGCATTTAGAGTGCGCTCTGCCTGATCACTGAATGATTCAGTCTATTAAAATACATTCAGAATGATCACAAATTCAAGACATGGGGGCAGAAAAAAAGCCACAGCGCTGTTTTGCGTCTCTGAGCAACATGACGGTGTTTCGTTCCCGATTGAATCAACTGTTTAAATGATTCGGTTTAATCGCAATGACTCGCTTAACAGTGACTTACTGCCACCTACTGGCGGTTTTAATTTCACATTTAAAGTATCTTTTCATTTTTTAAATTATTTCAAATATCAGTATTCAATGTTTTATGTTTAATATATCAAAACATTATTTATAAATATTACATATATGTATGTAATAAAATGTGTATTTCCATTAGAGGTTTAGGTCTTAAATTTCATATAAGGTGGTATTAAAAAGGTCTTAAAAAGTCTTAAATTTAACTTGTTCAAGTCTGCAGAAACCCTGTAACAGAACATTGTTTATAAAGGCTCAAACCATAAAGAATCATCAAAACCACTATGGCTAAAGTAAATGAGTTGCAAGTAAAAGAAACATTACCTATTTAAAGTGCTAAATCTCGACTCTAAAGAGTTAAAAATAAACAGCCATTAAGAGCAGTGTAATAACATTAAATGTAATGCGAGTTTATTGATATGAGACAGATAAGATTAGTGATGTTGAGAGTGATTTATGAATAAAAACAAAAACATAACATTTCAATTATTGACTTTATTGTGGTTAAGGCATATACATGTGTAACAGTTAGTTAAGTGGTTTGGTCCCTTATTTGTAATATAGTGCTTTCCAACAAACCTTTCATAAATAATTGTACATTTATCCATAATCGTTGGATCAGTGGTAATGCTTCATATTTATACTCCTAACACCATCAACAGGACTAAAATACTCTCTGAATCTACAATTAAGAAACAGGAAATATTTGATGCCTACGTTCCGGAGTATTAAACCAGTATATTGTAGATATGGTTTTGAAACATTATATCACCATTGCAATATATTAAACGTGTTACCAATTACTATAAACAACAAGTGGCAGTTTTTAGCTAGCAGTGATTACTGTGCCAAACTCTCAAAAGACTGCTGGGAAAATAGCTGGAGAAGTATAGGTTTAATAACCGTAACATTCTAGTTAGAGTTAACATCAACAGTATTGCTCTTTTCTGCCTTCTTAATCACAGCGGTTTCCTCCGGGTTCTCCTCCCGCTTGGCTCCTGCCGTGGATTTGTCATGTCCCTCTTCTTCTTTCTCTTTTTTAGGATTGCGGGTTGAGGTGAAAGCGGAGCGGCTCTGATACCCATAACTGATGCTGGGTGTGCTGGAGAAAGTCACCCCAGAACTGAAGTGGGTTTCTTCACCCTCCAGTAGCTTTCTATGAGGACATCAATGACCACTGGTTAGTTCTTATTCATTTTCATTCTCATTGCATTAGTTATTTCATGTGCAATTAAAGTGGAATCATTGGTGCTTTACCTGTATGCTGCAATTTCAATGTCTAATGCCATCTTGACGTTCAGAAGATCCTGATACTCCCGGAGGTGACGGGCCATTTCACTCTTAGTATTTCTAAGATCAAGGTCCAGCTGCCCAATTGTTTCCTGGTTAATGGGATTTAAAAAAATATGTATCAATATTAGCCTTAGCACAAAAATATTCTGTAATGGCCATCATAAAATTACAAAAATATTCTTATAAAGAAATGCAATACATTGAAACCAGCTTGCACTTTTCACATTCACATGACCATTAATTAATTTAGCTCACCAAAATTAGATCCTTCTTATAAAAGCTGATGTGAACCTTTATCTCTTGGCATTGACTGGCTGTCTCAGTACAGAGTTCAAAGGCGCTAATCTGATTCACACTGGCACTTCTTTCACTCTCAAAAGATGAAAGGTCATAGATCATGTCTGGGAAAAACAAGCCAAAATGATCTGGATACTTTATATGGCAGCGTGCTTAATGTTCACATTTGTAAAGCATCTAACTCATCAAGCAGTTCTAACACATCAATATAAACATAAACGGAGGTTATCATTCGGGTTTCTTTCACCAAGTGAACATGACCTTGCAGAAACCTCCCTTGCAAAATCCTCTTTATCAAGAGACTCTTCTTAGTGGAATTAACCTCAGCCACCTCTCATGTGCAATTAGTTCAGCACCATGGACAGAGCACCCGGCTACTTGACATGCCATTCAAGCAGTTTCAGTCTTGTCCTGTGGTATAATTCACAGTTCTTCTAATTATTCAATTTACATTTTTTCATGAGCTCCTAATATTAATTGGCTAATTACATCAAATATTTATACTTTTAAACACTTCTGTGTCATGCTGCTGGACTATTAAAAATAACTAATGAAGGCAAAACGTTGATTAAAAATGGTGAAAACCAGCCAGAGCACATAAAACATGATTTCCTTTATATATTAATATAAATACAAAATAAATGCAAATACATAATATATAATATAAATGTAAAATAAGTAAAAAAAAAAAAAAAAAACTAAAGGGGGATTTCTCAAGATATCCCTAATAAATTATTGTTTAAATAAAATATGGCTACCTAGATACAGACAGACAGACAGACAGACAGACAGACAGACAGACAGAGATATGGAACTTTTTTTCTCTCTTTTCCTTCTTTAAATAAATATTTTTATTTTTATTATTAAATGGAGTTATATTTTCATACATGCTTAGCTCCAAAATGATATGTCATTTTTATGTTTCTACCTGATAACCTGCGACCTCGGCATTGTGTGCATCTTCCATCTCGCGGATCTGTCGTTCAAGTGACTCATTTGTGCCTCGCAAGGTTTCGATTTCAATGGTTCTGGACTGTAGTTGTCGCCTGTAGTCGTTGATCTCCTCTCTTGTAGCTCTCATGGCCTCGTTGGTTCTAGTGGCCTGTTCACTGAGGCTGGTGAACTTTGATTTGTACCATTCCTCGGCAGACTGAAGGTTCTTAGACGCGAGGGTTTCATACTGCCCACGGATCTCTTTGAGGGCCGAGGTCAGATCCGGCTTGGATAATTCTACTTCCACAGATATCTGGGCTGCCTGGATCATACTAATCAACTCCGCCACCTCTTCGTCATGCACTTTCCTCATAAAATTGATCTCGTCCAAGAGGAACTCGACCTTTCTCTCCAGGTCCACGCGCACCATTGTGGCATCATCCACATCTTTCTTGTAGGATCTGAGCGTCAGCTCTGCCTCCTCGCGCACTCGGATCTCATCCTCAAACTTGCCTCGAAGTTTCTGCGAGTCTTCGTCGATATTATCTCGTTCAATGAGAATGTGAGATTTTTCATTGTTCAACTCGTCCACCTGGGCTCGCAGATCCCGGATCTCTTGCTGATAGAGGTCAGCGAGTCTGGACGGCTCGTTCTGCCTCTGGCGCAGACTCACGAGTTCGGTCTCCAGCACTTGATTGTGCTGCTCCAGATTGCGCACCTTCTCGATAAACATCGCGAAACGGTCATTGAGACCTTGCAGTTGTTCCTTTTCATTGGTTCGGACGATTTTAAACTTGTTGTTTAACACAGCTGTTTGAGAGAAATCCACGCTGTCGAAATGCACCGGTGAATAGGAAGATGACCGGCCCGATCTTTTGTAGTAGCCCGCTGGAGAGGCACTGCTGCGGGAGAGAGAGTGGGACCTGAAGCCGCTGGAAGACATGGAGCTCCGTGAGGAGACATTGCTCATCCTAGGGGTGGAACCGGTGAAACGAGGGGTTTCCCCGAATATCTTTCTATAGGATGAGGACATGTAGTTGTCTGATCCGTAACTCATCTTCGTCACAGCATAAAATGCATAAAATGGGTGTGCTTGTCATTATATACCCGGAGGACTGTCCCATTCAACAGCCTGTCATGTTCCCTCTGGTGGTGACAGTTAAAATGAGAATAAACCGTTTCTGGCCAATTAAAACATTCAGTTAGTAGTTGTGTTTTCAAATGGTATGACATTTGCACACAAAGGACAGATTTTTGGGCCGTTTAAACTGTTATGTGTCGATGGAACTGTCCAGGTTTGCGCAGTGAAGAATGGACCCGAAATTTAACAGTTAAATCGATTTAGGCTTGATTTAAGATCTTTTTTTATCTTTATTTCTTTGTGGTTTCTTTCAGCCCAGTCTTTTAAGACACAAAATTTACTTCCTTTACAATATTAAAATAATAGCCTATAATAATTAAACCAATTGGTCTCCCAGGCTGACCAGATGACAAGTGCCCAAAATATTTTTTAATATATTAATTTAAAATAAATAAATAACAATGAATAAATAACGGTCCTTACACTGTTGAAAAAAGCAGCATAAACCAGCCCAGAATTGTTTGCTGGTTTTAGTTTACACCCTAGCCAACTCAAAAGTGTCTAAAAGCCGTCCAAATCCAGCAAACAGACAGAGGTTTGGGGAACCGTCCAAGACCAGCAAAAAGCGTAGGCTGGTTTAAGATGTTTTTTTTGCCAGTAGGATTCCTACAAATATATAAAATATTCTTATAATATGCATAGCATTTCCAGTCATTTTTAGAATCGTTTTTCATGAACAAACATAATTTTTAAATGTAAATTTTCTTTAGTAGAGTTAATTTCTACTAGGGCCAACTAAATATTTTTTTTCATTAGATAAACGTTAGATGAATTTCATAAAAATATATATTTTGCTATTTGTGTATTTTGAGTCCTGATATGAAATATAAATTCAAATCAACCTTGTATTGATTAAAAATCTGGCAACACGGTCTAAAGTTGACAACCAATAGATGGCGACATTTCTCTTCCAAAATGTTTTTCTCTACAGATTTCTGCCATGTCTGTTCATCACTGATGGAATACAAATACATCATTTTTACAATAATTTTATTCATGTCGCTGTCAACAGACATTAAATAAAATAAATAGGAAATTAAATAATTTTTTTCACTGTAGTTGTTCATGATCGTTTCAGATTAGATTATGCATTTTTATAATGCATATCTATTTTTTGACATTACTTCCACAAACTATTATCAACTTTTTGAATCTCATAGTTTCTGGATGGACATCTAGTGGCTGGATGGTTTGCGCATGCGCAGTATGCAGATAGCGCAGAACTGCAGTTGTTGGTCACTGAAGGAGGTGAGGTAAGTAGCCTACTGACACTGAGCGGAGATATAACGCGTATCAAGAAGCAGTAGTTATATCATTAAATTGTTGCAGAATAACTGTGTATATGAACGTTATAGCGACAATCGTTAAGGCAGTTTCCTCCATTTTATGCATTAGTTTCCGGTTGATCAAAACTAAAGGAATGTTAGTTAGCTGGCGTGCTAACTTTACCATCACGGAACTGCATAAACAAGAGGAAAGATATGCTCGCATGTATGCCTTGATATTATTAATACATCTTTACAGTTATTCTAAGGCATAATGTGGAAACTTAATATGGTCTTTATATAAATTAAGTAGCAGGTGCTTTGAATTCAAAGCTCCATTGTGTCTTAACAATAAATGCATAAGACGGCGTGTATATATTATATGCATTGTCTTGTATATACAACGTCAGGCAAAGATTTAAATAATATGCATAATGTTTATGTTTGTACATTTTATATCACTTTTGATAATTTGTACATTATGTAATTCGTTGATTGTCTTGTAGATACCTTGTAGAGAATGAGAAAAATACATTTAATTTGGTATTTGAGAAAAAATAATAAAAAAAAAAAGGCTACATTGTGCGGCTTCTGTGAGCTGTCCTTTAGTGTTACAATAAGAGAAGTAGTTTCTTAAGGAGTATCTAAAAAGATGTATCATAAACCTGGTACTTTGTAATTGGTTTAAACATTGTTTCAGGCAGCTTTCTGTAGTTGTGTGTTATGGCTGTTTATCTTTGATACAGGAAATACTGTTACACTGACAAAATGATTATAAGTGTAGCTTTAGAATAGATGTGATGATCATGAACATTTTGAGATTCTGTTTAAAATAGTTTGAATGTGTCTGGTCCTTTGTTGTTAAGGTTTGCATATCAGGGCTATTGTGCAACAATTAAATGTGGTGGAAATTTAACCTCTGAGATACTAAACCAGTGCTGTGTATAGTCAAATTCACTGTGTTCTGCCATCTGGCTGTGCTGCATAAAAAAAAAAAATCGCTTTAATTTTTGCTTTCTTTCTCAGACCTATACCGGTTAAAGATGACAACCTCTTGGAGTGATCGGCTCCAGAATTATGCAGACCTTCCTGCCAACATGGACGGTTCATCCGTGAAGAAGTACAGAAGAGAGGTGCAACAGAGGTATTAATACATTTCACTAATGCTTTCAGCTTTGAAGGCCATTGCCATTAATTTGGTTAAATCAAATCGTGTACTCTCTTGGTAACTTGAAAACAAATTAGTTGTTAAATAACCTACATTTAAACAAAACGAAACATGTAAATGCCTGCTTGGTATATATATATTTCTAGTAGCAACAGTTGGAGACAATTACTTTAAATGACCTGGTCTCTACTCCAGTTAAGATTATGGTCAATAATGAAGACATATTCTCATTGAGATATTTACATTTTATGTGCACAATGCTTTTGAGGACATAGAAAAAATAACTTTAAGACTCCAAAAGGAATTGTAGACTTGTAATTATCTTTTTTTATTTAAAATTAAATATGGCGTGTAGCATGTTTTCTTTTGCCATGCCATCATGCTGTTCTGTGGATGCACCTGTTTATACGTCTGTTTGTCTGTCAAAATCGGTCAAATTCATTGCCGAAAATGTCAGCTTGCATGTGATTTAAGCAAAGGTTGTGTATTGTAAGCTTTTTGCTCAATCAAAAGAATTAATTGTTTTCTCACTGTGCCCAACTTTGGAATATTTTCAATTATTAAATAAAAAATGACCTTTTAAATGATCATTGTAACAGTGTATCTGCACATTATGATACTCATATCCAATGTTTAATATGCTATATTTACTCATGCCTTTTGGCAGGTTAATTTGGCCTGTCAGCATAATACTTGCAAGTTCCTAAAATGCTGTGTTTGTCATGGCAAACAGTCATTTCATAAGAGCAATCCTTATTTACATGCAGACTATGCTGTAAATTTGTTGACTTATCATAGTTTTCTGCAGAAAAAACATCATGGCAGTCACAAAGTGCAATATTAAACAAAAAAAAATCAAAAAGTAAATCCAATGGTAAGAAGACCTGAAATGTCCTGAAAAGTTTACTAGACACAGTTCTTCATGTAGTGGCATTAACTGATGTGTACTGATGTAATATATAGTCCATGTATTCCTTTATTACAAAGCTTACCACAGGAACTGGCCCACTGTCATCCTTCTATGAGGTATGCCAAAGTTTTGTTGTTGACCTGCAGTGCTGACTGATCATCTGTTTTGTAATTGATGTTTTTTTCTCCCATGTGCTCATCACAGCACAGCACTAAAAATACAAGATGAACAAAACCATCAATGCTTTTGCACTGTGCTGTATGTAGCTGTATGTGTATGTAGGTGTCCATAGGAAGACCTGTGATGGGATTTTAATCTGTGAGATAATTCCTTCATTCTCCCTTCCCCTAGCTATATCTCCTTCCTTCATGCTCTTAACGCATCATTTAACAGCTCATTTGTTCCTAGTGTAAATTCAACTACATTTTTAATGTTTCACTGCAAATGTATCGATGGATAAAGATGTACCAGCATCAGGTGAATTAAAAGAAAAATAATTTTTTAACATCATTTGGAAAATAACTGACCATAGCACAATTTTAAATAATGTGAAATACAATAACAGATGTATAAATTTAACTTAAAAATACTAACTCTAATATAGCAAGGTTTTTACTTTTTATCCCTTAACTGACAATTAAGTCTCAAAGGTGTCCAAATGCAAGTATTTGTGTTTAAGGGTGTATTTTGGTTGGTTAATAATAATTATGATCATTCATAACCTTTCATATAGCGCTGTTATTTTTCATGTATCAGTTAATTTCATAGAGATGAGTGGTGTTATTTTCATCAGAAAATTATGTTTTTCTGGTTTGTAAAACAGATGTGTTCAGCAGACTATGATTTTTTTTAGATTTTATTTTATTTACCATTCTGTTGAAACAGTGTCAGTCATTACCACCCGAAAAACTTGATTTAACTGGAAATCAAGGAATTTTACCGTGCCATTTGCTCCACCTCATACTTTGCTGCTGTTGGCCGAAATAGTAATAGATATCATTTAACCAAATGTATTAATTCTGAATTATTGCTTTCACAGGTCACAATACGTCAATGTAACTCATTATCTACATTAACATAAACTCCCATAGAGCTGAACAGCTCATGGATTGTGTTGAAGGCAATGGAATAATACAGTCTGCTGAATTTAACACAGTTTGCAACTGAGAGCATATTAAATATCAATGACATTTGTCTTAAATTGCCTCTGTTTTTATCTCTGCAGAGTTTTTGTCAATAGAAGTTTGGCAATGGAGAAGATAAAATGCTTTGGCTTTGATATGGACTACACTCTAGCAGGTAAGCTGAAGTACTACTCTCTATGAGCTGCCTCTGAAACAGATGATGCCTGCATGGTGCCTTGTTTTGCAGTGTCATTTATGAAGTAAGTTCAAAAGAATTGTAAAGCATTGCGAAATGGTAACACCATAGCATGGTACTGTAAGGTAATCCTTGGTCTCATGTATTTGGTGGTGTCATGGCTCTGTAAATAGCGCCCCTGTCTTCAGCTGGCTCATGTCAGGCACATGATTTTTTTGCGCTTGAAGCTCTAAACAAGATGAATGGGTGCATTGACATCCATGATATAAAATGTGGTCCTTTTGATTGGTCATTTTCCTGTTTATGGATCTGTGATGATAAGCAAGTGCTAATGTTCACAGGAAAAGGTTTGAAGTTCTACTGCCAGCACACAGCCTAATATTAACCCAAAATATGAGCTGCTTAGACTGCTAGATCAATGTGCATGTGCTGTGTAACTCCCTTCTAATCGCAGAGCAGTGAATTTGCTTACCGTGGCGAATATTACAGCAGAGAAAAGTAAAGAGTGCACAACAATTTTGACTGCATTTAGTTTACTATGATCGTGAGGTCAACTCAGTTTCAGCAATGTTGACATTTCCTTCCTCTCTTTCAAGCAGAGGTCTGTCATATCTTTGTGGAAATGTTCATTCAGCGGATCTGGCTAATTTTGTTTTGAGGTCCAATGGGTTTCTTGCAACATCATAATACAGTGTCTTGTGCCTATACAGGTCCTGTTCAATTAAACCTTTTTGCTTCTAAAGAAATGAAATCAGTGCAGCTCTGGTTTATTAGGCTCCTTGAGGGGGTTAATTCGAGGAATCATTCAATAGAATATATAAGATCAAAATGGGGAAAAGAGGTTGGCATTTCCTTGTGACCTGATCAATGGAATAAAATATGTACTATCCCACATACCTCAACAAGCTCAAGAATGTGGTGTGAGTTTTGGAAAAATCTGACTCGCTTTTTTATCAACCAAGAATTAAGGAATTAGAAACGAGAACCTTTCACCCATGCTGGAGGAACTGTGGGGTAGAAAAAGCCCATCAAACACATCTATTTTGGCAATGTCTAAAGGTGAATAGTTTTTCATGGGGAAGTCGTGGCCTAATGGTTAGAGAGTCGGACTCGTAACCCAAAAAGGTTGCGGGTTCGAATCTCGTACCGGCAGGGATTGTAGGTGGGGGGAGTGAATGTACAGTGCTCTCTTCCACCTTCAATACCACGACTGAGGTGCCCTTGAGCAAGGCACCGAACCCCCAACTGCTCCCCGGGCCCCGCAGCATAAATGGCTGCCCACTGCTCCGGGTGTGTGTTCACGGTGTGTGTTCACTGCTGTGTGTGTGTGTGCACTTTGGATGGGATAAATGCAGAGCACTAATTCCGAGTATGGGTCGTCACTTTTTGGGAGGTTGTATGGTCTACTATTAATAGTATTTTCACTCTACATATACCAAAATAATTTTATGGTTTATATTTGGGAGATATTCCAGATGAGGTTGGAAAAGATGACAAATATTTATTAAAAATTTTACTGGCAACGAGTAAAAAGGCGATACCCACCTACAAGAGAAGACTGTTTCCAAATAGTAACAGAGGTTAGAGAAATTAAAAGACTCACATATAGCCTAAACTTCAGCTGCAAATGTAAATCTTTGAAAACAAATGAAGGAAATGGTTATCAAGTTCCTTTGTGGTTTAGATGATTGCATTTGTAAGTGTATGTAAATGTTTACTGATATAATGTACTGGCGAGATGACTAAAGGTTTATATGTAATATATGGCAACCTTTGTTATTCCTAAAAGTTTATATGTAATGTATGGCGACCTTTGTTATACCTTTTTTTTTCTCTCTCTTTTTCTGTAATGTAAGGTTCTGTTCTCAACATAAAAACTGTATTATATAAAAAAATATTATATAAAAGTATTATATATAAAAAAAGAGAATTTTTTCAAAAACATTCTTACAGAGCCTAAATTTTTGAACGGTAGTGTATATGATAACATTTTCATCACCATGTTTTCCCCACATTCATGCATTATATCAGATATTCTTGACTGTGTTTTCTTCTCTGTTAATAGTGTATAAGTCTCCAGAGTATGAATCTCTTGGCTTTGATCTGACTGTGGAAAGACTGGTTTCCATTGGTTACCCACAAGAGCTGCTAAACTTTGTCTATGACCCTGCTTTTCCCACAAGGTGATTTGAAAGATAATTTTCTAACATGCCTTTTCTAACTGTATTTTGACTACATATTTTGATTCACGCAAGTTTTGAACATCTTTCAGAGGCTTGGTGTTTGATACAATGTATGGAAACCTGCTGAAAGTAGATGCGTATGGAAACATCCTTGTGTGCGCTCATGGTTTTAACTTCCTGCGTGGGTGAGTCTACACTCATAATTTAAGAGCAACTGATGCCCTGGCTAGTGCTCACTTTGTTTGTGTGTTTATTCCTCTCCCTTAAAAGCTTCATTTGTAGGATTTTTTTTACCCTAGTAAAGCAAAAAGTCAATTAAAAAAACTATTTGGAAGAACATGCACTGGTGAATCATTAACAATAAGACCAGAATGGTGCATTAAGAAGTAAATAGTGTCACTTTTGATTTTATCTAGATGTTACGGGGTTAGTCACACTTTTTAATTGTATTTTTTTAGTCCAGAGATAAGAGAGCTGTACCCAAATAAGTTCATTCAGCGTGGAGATACAGAGCGATTCTACATCCTCAACACACTTTTCAACCTCCCAGGTTAAAATCTTCTATCAGCTAATATCAAAAACCTAAAGAATATATACGTAGAATCTATAGTCCATGTTTAAGTTAACATAGTTTGTTTTTGCGCTTTATTAGAGACATACCTCTTTGCCTGCCTGGTTGACTTCTTCACTAGTTGCTCCAGATATACAAGGTTTGTTTTTGTGCCCTCATTTGAACGCTTCTGTAGCTACTCTGGCATTTTATATGACCTTTTAATTTTTGCCTCCACAGTTGTGAGACGGGCTTTAAAGATGGAGATCTTTTCATGTCCTTCAAGAGCATGTTTCAGGATGTCAGAGATGCTGTGGATTGGGTCCATTTCAAGGTAAATGCTATTTTTAAGTGCTAAAATATAGTGTGTTTTTTTAAAGAAACGCCCTTTTTGGACTTGGTATAAATTTCATATTATGGATAACTACTTCTGTGTGACATTTCAGGGCTCACTAAAAGAGAAAACGGTTGAAAATATGGAGAAATATGTGGTGAAGGATGTAAGTAAACCAGATTATTGAACAGCTTCTTGCTGACCAGCATTTTTGTTACCTTATTTCACTTTGTATGTTTATTCATAATGAATTTTACAGACATAATTCGTTTTTTTGTGTATTTCCATAACTTTTGTCATCTTCTTCTAGGCTAAATTACCGTTGCTTCTAAGCCGAATGAACGAAGTTGACAAAGTGTTCCTTGTTACCAACAGTGACTACAAGTACACAGATGTGAGTTATTCTAGAAGAAACTGCACAGACCAAGTCCATAACCATCGGACATTCACTATTTAAGGTCTAACAAAATCTGTTGAATTTTCATTAGAAGCAAATGTAAAATGTAATTTCCTCTCCTTTTCTCTTTCAGAAAATCATGACATACTTGTTTGATTTTCCACATGGTCCAAAAGTAAGTGATCTTCCCTATTGTTGTTCACTAGCATACCAGTGGTACTTAGCTGTTTTTATTTGTCTCAGATCCTCAATGAAAATGTCTAATGACAAAAGACAGTACACATTTCACATATAATTTGTGTAGAAAACATGAACCAGCGAGCTGCACTGTGTAAAAGAACACCCTGAAGATTTATTTGCCAGTTATGATGTGTCTGTATAATATCACAGTTTTCATTAAAAAGTGTTCTAACAACAGATGTTGAGAAAGGGGATATGAACAGAAAGACAGGGAGTAACGGGCCATATAAGAACTCATTTTATTGCAGTTTTATCGCATACACAAAGACAGTGCCAGACTGAATCTATTATTTCTTTATTACAGGCTGGTACGCCTCATCGGCCCTGGCAGTCCTACTTTGACGTTATTGTGGTGGATGCCAGGAAGCCAGTGTTCTTCGGGGAGGGCACAGTCCTGAGACAGGTGGACACGGTAAGATCCGCTAGACTCACATGAGTAGCTTCCTGTGACAAACTCATTGATTCAGCAATATTTCTGTTCTGTAGTCTACTGGGAGACTGAAGATCGGAACATATACAGGTCCCTTGCAGCATGGCATAGTGTATTCTGGTGGTAAGATAAAAATGGATGTCGTTCTTCATATTTTATTGACTGATTTTTTTTAAAATCTAAAATGCCTGATTGAATATGCTTTATTCTTCCCAGGTTCCTCAGACATAGTTTGTGACCTACTAGGAGCAAAAGGAAAGGACATCTTGTACATCGGTGACCACATCTTTGGAGACATCCTGAAGTCTAAGAAGCGTCAGGGCTGGAGAACGTTCCTGGTGATTCCTGAGCTGGCTCAGGAGCTGCACGTGTGGACCGACAAGAGCAGTGAGTCTGTGACAGGGTTATTACAGTTAACTAAAACCATAAAAAGCATGTTCATTTCTTGAAATAAAATAAACGTTTACTGAAATAATAAATAAATTAAATATTTAAATTTGAATTCAGCTAGTTGCCAAAACTACATTTCTCATTTTCATTTAGTTTAACTAAAACTGAAATAACAATGAATAAAAAACTATATAGACATA